TTAATTCTAATTTATGAAAAAGAAAGAAAGAAAAATATTTTTAGTGCTTAGGAGTTTAATTAAGCAGCTGATCCTGCAAAAATAAATTACAGAGTAGGTGACAAAGGGAGGTATAAATAATATCAAGTTATTTGGCCAAGTTCTGATTGGAGATTTTATGATTATTCTTGGTGTGTGTGTGTGATTTTCCTTTTGTCTTCCATTATGTCTTTATATATGGACGATTCTGTAACTCTGGGTGTCTATTTAGCAAGTCCATGAAGCCATTGGCAATGCTTTTCAGAGGGGATTAAGAATTTATAACTCTTAAGATTTCTCATACAGGATACAAATATGGTAGTTTGTCTTTAACATCCAGAAACATTACAGTAAAAATAATCCTGACTTAGGCAAAGTCCTGGGTTGAACATTCATAGTGTTGCACAGAGAAGATGCTTCATGAATTTTGTTTCACTGGCAAATGAGGAAGGTACTTCACTTCTCTAGGTTGCAGTTTTGTGAATCAAGAGTCAAAAGTAGAGAGGGTTGACAAATAGTTTCCGAAGTCTCTTTAGTGCTGAATTCTGAGGTACAGTGGTGATTGCATTTCCAGCTTTTAGGTTAAAACAAAACAAAAACAGGAAAATGTAAACAAGTCTATTCAGAGCACCCAGTGAAATATCCCTAATCTGAAATCTAAGATCTTCAGAACCCAAAACATTTTCAGAGCTCAAAAATTTCAAATTGGGGCATATTTTGGTTTTTTTGGGGGGTATTATGATTATGAAAACTTATCCAGTCAAGTCTGCAAGTATTCCAAAATTAGAAAAACTCTAAAATTGAGGACACTTCAGGTCCCAACCACTTTGGATACAGGATATTCAATGTGTGCAGTTCTGGAGGTCTGTGAGTGATTCTTGCCACTTAGCCACATCTTGGCTTCCCAGCTCCTTTGTTGAGAAATAGCTCCTCTTTCTGTGGGGCCTTCTGCCTGGAATACATATACATGATTCAGTTAGAGATATTAGGTCACTTTTTTCATCGTGCAAATGTGAAGCAGCTTTAAATGAATATTTGCCAAGCTGAAAATTACTGGTGAGGTCATTTTTAATGGAAGACTGTATTTTACCATGGCTTATTCTGTCCAGTCTATTACTGTTAGCTCCTGCAGCCAAGCCAGCTGATGGAGGTGCTGGCGGCAGGAGCTGAGGCTCCAGACCGAGCATGGAGATTGAGTCAGTTCCTGGGTATTGCTGAGCAGTGGAGCCCAAGCGGCTCACAAGAGCACACTTGCCCGGGGCCATCTGATAAGTGTGGCTGCATGTTTGTATCAGGTGTGCTGGCAGAAAAGCTGCCTTGTCCTACACATAAAACAGAATCAGTGGAGATCCTTTATCTTTGGAGAGGAAATATTTGCAGGGTGGCACTGGGCTGAATGGAGCCCCTGCTCTTGCAGATAGTTTTCCCCGCTGTTGGCAAGGAACTGGATGAGATTAAAATCAGTTTCCTGAAACTTCCCGTGGAGGAGATCAGTCATAATCTTTGAAGCTTCAGAGAGATTTTCTGAACCCAGTTTTTCCACCCTTCTGCTTCTTCCCCTTAAAATAATCACGGAAAGAAAATCAGACACCCTTAACTTATCAGATGCCTGTTTGGTTTTGGATAAAATGTCAGTGGCACTGTGTTCTCTTAAGTTCTTAAAAAGAAGTACCATTTCATACCCATGGCATCTTTGCTATAATCAGTGTACAGAAAAGTGATGGAGGGGGCGCCTCTGTCCAGGTAGGGAGCTTTCACTCTGAATAAGGGCCTTTGTGTGGGGCTCCCTGACACACACCCTTTCTGTCTTTCTCTCTTCCCACCCACTCCATTTCCCATCCCCACTTTATCATTGTCACCCAGGTGCCTACCTGTAAGTGTAGCCGGAGTTGGACACTCCCTTTTCTTTGTTTGCTTAGTTTTTGTTTTTCTGTGATGCTGAGTATGGAATCCAGGGACTTGTGAATGTTAGGCAAGAGCTCTACCACAAAGCTACTCATTTTGTAATCTTATTGCTAGATCTCTTTTGTTCTGCAGTGCAGAATGGTTATCATTAACCTTAAGTAAGTGTGCACAAGATGGATGCTTTATGATGCTGTCTATATAGTTGATAGGTAGTGCTTTCAAAAAGTGAGTATCTATATTGAATGGAACACTTAAAAGATGAATTATATGGTACTTGACAAACCTTGCATGTGATTTGTAAAGGTATTGAAACAATGGACATGTGATTCATGAAGATCGTATAAAACAACAAGCATCTCTTTTTTTTAATACCAACAGAGTATGAACATCAGTCACTCAGCCTGGACACATAGACTGTGTTACCTCTCCCTGCATCACAAAGGCCTATGCTCCCTCTGCTGCCCTCCCTGCTCTTTGCCCTCTTGTCTAGCTGAAGCCCCTTGGCTGTGTGTGATTCATAGTCCAAAACTCAGAGTTCCTGGACCAGGGATTCCAAGAGAGACTTTTCTTCCCCCTTTATTCAGTGCCGATTTCTCTCCTCTCCACATCATAGGAACGTGTGCTCTTCATTTCTTTGTTACATTTCTACATTCCTTTGAGAAAAAAATCCATGGAGCCCTACCAGGCACACACGGAGCCCTGGACCACAGCCCTGAGTCCTTCCCCAAGCCCAGGACTCAGACCCAGGGGTAGGCAGAAACATGTCTGTGTCCCTTCACACAGCGCTCACCGTATGACTGGTGATCCAGCAAAAAGACATAACCTTCTCATAGATTCCTTGTGTCTCTGGGGGAAAACAGACAAATACAAAGAAAATGGGTTGTTCACTGTGGTGGGGAGACACATGAGCAGTAGCCCAGGATAGCGCAGGCAAGGGCAAAGCGAAAGGCTAACTAAATCCTGACTGGCTGTGGGATTAAGGATTAAGGACTATGTATTCAGGGAGGTGAATGCTTGGTTGAGTTGTAAATAAAAGGAGTGGGCTTTTAGTAGTTGGAGAAAAGGTAGAAGGTGGGAGAGGCTGAGAAAAATGCCTGCAGGGGTTCTTAAAAATAGTCACTGTGTCAGGTCTTCCATAGCAATGAGGAGGTTGCCTTGCTTTGGGAGACTTGTGGAATAGCAGACAGTCTGCATCTGTTTCTGTAAGTGAAGTTCTGTCAGACTTCTTGGCCCACCCATTCCTTCATGCATTTCTGTTTTCATTATAGCTAAGCTGCACAGTTGTGACAGGGACTGCGACCCACACAGCCAAAACTATTTACTGTCTTGTCCACTACAGAGTAGTTTGTCAACCATTTTTAATTCCTTGAAATTTTGAATGAAGCTCCAATAGCCAGCAACGAGCTTTGCTTCCTGCAGCTTAGCTCATCTCCCTACCAGGTGTGTCTCCTTCAGCCCACCTACCACACCCCGAGATTGGCAGCCTCTGGCTTCTGAACATTCTGATACTTAGTTGAATGTATGTATTACAGGGAGTGGAGCATTTACCACTCTAAATGCCCCCTAAAATGTCCCGCTACTCCAACTCTAGGCTGTGATTATGCTTTATGTCTCAGCACCTCTGCTGCTACCTGTTGGTTTGGTAAGTGTTGCTCAGGAGGGATGAAGGACAATAAAAGAAGTCATAGCTACTATAGCACACTGCCCTTCCCTGGGGAGATCTATCTGGAATTGTCACCTGACAGTAGGAGCAAGGGAACTACAGGGTGAACTCATAACTCAATCCTGCATTTATTTCAGAAACTCAGAATTCCCAGAAAGGCTATGCCGAGCTAGACTTCTTATAAATATGAATTTATTTAGTAAGAGTTGAATGAAACCGAGGTGTAGCCATCCCCATCTCAGAGAACACTAAGTAGAGGCTCTGACAATCTAAGAAAGTTCGTTTCAGTTAGTGGGTGTCCCTGCCTCCAGTCCTAGATAAAGAGGATGTTGATACCTACACTTCAGTTCATGGTGAGTAGAGGTCGTGTAGAAAGCCCTGCATCAGGAAGTAAAAATCTCTGTTGCAGGATATCAAAGAATTTGCTTCCAAAGGATCCGAATACACTGAGGTCCTTCTTAACCCTAGCTTTTGTTTTAGCCTTGACAGCCACTGAGGTGTTATTTAAATATCCCTGTTAAATAATGTTCAATTTTGGATCTTATGTCATGGTGGTAGTTGGTATAGAGAATTGTTGTCAGTAAATAATGGTGACATTTTTTAAGCATTTCTGGAAGAAGGAAAAAAGCCATGCATGTTTAGAAGTTGCCCTAATTCCCAACTAAGGTGACCCTTCTCACAGAAAGCATTGATTATAACCATCCCCTCCTTGAAATGTTTCCTTATTCATCACCCTAGTGTCCTCTTAGGAAAAGACTGAAATCCTTTTGGTGGTGATCACTTTCCTGTTTGGGCCCTGCCTGCCTCTGAGTATCTTACCCATCCATTCCAGCCAGTGTGGGACCCCGACTTTGCATCTACCTGATTCCTTTAATGACATCTTTAGATTGCCTGGCTGGCTCGTTTATTCCTGCTTCATCTTCAGGTCTCAGATGTTGCCCTAGATCCCAGGAGGCCTTCTTTGACCCCCAGAGACTGAGTTGCGTTTTCTTCCTTTGTCCAGTCCTCAGTCATGTCTGTTACACCATTGTTCACTTGTTCATTTTTCTGTTGTTCGGTTAGATTTAAGGTTCTTGAAGGCACTTCTTAGGACTGCACTTCCTCCTCCATGTTTATTTGCGCTCTCTGTTTCTCGGTAGCAGATCTCCAAGGCACAGTCGTTGCCCTGGAACACCTTGTGAACTAGGCCTAAAACATCATAGAGCTCTGGCCATCCTCTTGGTGGGCTGTCCTTGGTTAGGTCCTCACCACAGACCAATTAGACATGTTTGGAACTGGAGCAGTTCCATGGATCAGAACATGTCTGCCAAAATAGGCCTCTGTTTTTGGTTTCTTCCCCGCCTCTCTGCTTACAAGGATGTTAGGCTTGTATTTTATGAACCTCATGGTATCCTTTATTTTCCATTCTTTCCAGATATCATTAATGGAGCTCAAGAAAAATGTGTATTGCCTCCTATGGATGGCTTTCCCCACTGCGAGGGGAAAATCAAGGTAAGGTGGAACCAGCGCCTCTTCATTTCTCTCATTCTTGATCTTTCTCCCTCCCAGTGATACAAGTGGGTGTGTGAGCCCTTGAAACCCATTAAGGGTTTCCTCCATCCTGTCGTTTTGTGCTGTGACCATGAGGCCGCCCCTTCTCTGCCTGTGCCTGTTCCACGGCGTAGCTAACAGTGGGTCCTGCTGGTCACTCTGGAGGAACATGGGCCCCTGAGGCGCCTGCGGAGTGTTTGAACTGCCTTGCCTTTTCTTTCCCACCCTCCAGTGGGTAGTCCTTCAAGGTCCAGTGACAAGGGGCTGCTTTTATTTAGAGTCCATCTTCCCTGTTCCCCAGGCCCTTGCTCATTTAAACCACATTGTCCTTTAAATACCACATATGCATTTAGTACCCGCAGACACTCGACTGCACTTTCACTCTTTATTGTTTTGGTGCTGGGGATTGAACCCAGGGCCTCATGTATGTCAGGCGTGTGCCCATCCACTGAACTGTACCCACAGCCCAACGTTTTTTAAAAAAATCTGTTTGTATGGCCTGCTTTTGAGACCATCCCTTGCCTGGGAACATTCAGAGGAGTTTCCATTCAGGTGTGCAATTAGAATGGTGAGACCAACCAGGAAACACTCTGCCCTCCTTAGGGGATATCTGTAAATTCTCACCCATACTCGTGTGACACTCAACCCCCTCCTAGACTCTGCATCCTGGCACTGTGCTGTGACTCCTGGGACTGTAGTGCCCAGAGGATAGTTCCATGTGAGAGTCCCCATAGGTGCTTTGTCTTGACCTTTGCCTCTCTGACCTCTATTTTCCTCTGTGCACCTCTGCTTGGGCCCAACCCAAGCCAGTGTCTGTTTGTGGATCCTCCCTGAGCTGAGCAGCTGGTCATCTTGACCTCAGCTCAGTGATACCTGTCTTTGGAGCAGCTTTGAGCTCTTCACCCCACCTTCACCCATCACGCCCTCCAGCTGTCTGTCAGCAGAGTGGTATGGACACCAGCATCAGGATGCTTGGAGGTTTACAAGATGTTCTGTGTTCTTGTTCATTTCAGTGGATGAAAGATATGTGGCGTTCAGATCCCTGCTACGCAGACTATGGAGTGGATGGGTCCACCTGCTCTTTTTTTATTTACCTCAGTGAGGTGAGTAGCTTCCTGTGGCTCTTGTGGTGTGTGCATGTATGTATTTTGTAGTGCAGCCTGAGATTTGAAGACATGTATTGTTTTTATATGGAGGGCCCTATGGTTCCTTTCTTCATTATTCTCCCTAATTCCCCAAGAAGTTTTTGTTGTTGTTTTAAATCTTGAAGAAAAAAACAAGCTTTTTGCCCCTTTTAGCCTCCAGTTTTTCGTACTGTGGTAAATTACACATAGTGTGCAATTCGCCGTCTTAACCATCCTGAAGGGCCATTCATTGGCGTTACATGCATGCATGTTGCTGTGCAGCCATCACCGTCATCCACCTCCACAGTCCTTTTCATTTTGTAAAACTGAAACTATGATCATTGAACACTTAATTCCCCATGGCACTGCCCCACACCATTCTAATTTTTTTCTCTTAATTTGGCAATTTCACCTTATATAAGTGGAATCATGCAATTTTTCCTTTTGCATCTGCCTCAAGTCACTTAGCATAATGTCTTCAAGGTTCACCCATGTTGTAACATATTAGATTATCCATTTATGGCTGAATAGTAACCCATCCTATGTCTGTACCAGAGTTTACCTGTGCAGCTGTCATTGGATGCTTGAGTTGTTTCTCCCCATGGCTGTTGTGAATAACACAGCCATGAAACAGGCATATAAATACTTCCTGTGCTGCTCTTAGTTCTTTTAGGTATACATTCGGGAGTAGATTTACTGCTTCACATGGTGATTCTATTTGTAAATTTTTAAGGAACCACCATACTGTTTTCCATAGCAGTTGTGATTGTTCACATTTCCACCAGGAGGGCGCATGGGTTCCAGCTTCTCACCATCCTCATCCGTGCTCTTACTTTCCACTGTTTTTCTGAGAAACCATCTTAATGGGTGCTGCTTTTGGTTTGCATTTCCTTAATGACTGCTGACATTACACTTCTTGGCCTGTGTTTGTTGGCCCAGTGGCTGTTTACTTTTGGGCTGAGTGAATTACTTCTGCCTTCTTTTTGTCTTTCTTACCTGAGGCTCATTTTCATTTGTACCATTGAATTTAAATAGCAGCTTTTGTACTAGGATTGCAGAGCATTTTACAGATCACATGGGATTTTCTATAAGCTTCAGTGATCTCCATTTCACCTTCATGAAAATTAAAGGGATGGGGAAGGAGTCAGGTTTTTTCCTACTGTGGGGGAAGAACGGAAGGGACAACCAAAACGAGCAGGATGTCCCTTCTCCCCTCCAGGGAGAGAGCTGCCTGAGGGTTTGATGGAAACAGGTACAGGCTAATTTCAGAGGATGTGCCTTTGAGGGCTCCCTGCTGCTGTTTCATTTTTATTTTGTCTGGTTTTTTTTATATGCTGTTGCTGTTACCATTTGACCCATAGTAACAACTCCCTGGTAATGCCTGGGGGAATGCCTCCATTTTTTGAGGCTAAATGAAATGCTTATGTCATAGTTTTCCTTGTGGGACTCAAGTTTCTCTTTTTTCTGTGCTATAAGGTAAAAACTTTGGGAGATAGAAACCAAGCCAGTATTTTGCAATAGGGCAGAGGTCGCAGAACTGTATGGGGTTTGTCCCTGTCCTGTATCATTCCCTAGCTTTCCTGAGCACCTGAGTCAGGCTTCCTTTCCCTTTCACTGGAGATCAAACCCAGGGTTTCACACATGCTCATTGACCATTCAGCTGAAATCCTAGACTGACAAACTTTTTTTTGTTGACAAGATTTTTCCATGACCATCATGAGACTCTTAAAGCTAGTGAGAGTTAAAACACCTCTTAGAAATTACAAGCACTGAGAGGTTTACAATATTCCTTATTAGAAGGCTGCTGGCAAATGGACTTTGCAGCATTTATTTGAGGTGTTTTTGGACCTGTCTTCTCATTTCCTTCTGCCAGGGAGTAAGGTTTGAGGCTATAGGTGAACCTTCACATCTGTGACAAGTCAATTAAAAGTACCTTTCCTGCCCAGAGGAAAGGGTTCTCATCCAGCTTAATTTTCAGAAGTTTGCTTTGTCTTTCCTTATGCTAGAATGTAGCCAGAGCCCAGCTGTGCACCGCGATTGACAAGCTGAGCTAATTTCACACCTTCTGAGTATCTCCACATTGGGGTGGACAAAGGAAATAATGGGTAGAGGCTTTTGCATTCCTTCCTCAGCAGCTTCCTCTCCGTCTGCAGGCGGGAAGGTGTGAGAAAGTGGCACAGACTCCCAGAAAGGAGCTGTGACTGTTCACCACCATGTTCCTTTCCTTTGATGCCTTCACCTACCTCCACTCCCAGGAGAGGAAGAGAAAGCTACAGTTCCAAGGAGAGAAAAGCAGGGTTCTGGGGAAGAGAAATCAAGAGGAATGTAGGTCAGAGAGAGCTATACAAAGTCTCATGGATCGCAAATACTCATTACTAGGGGCTGAACCTTTCATATTGGGACTTGTGATTTTTTTCCCCCCTCAGGGTAGGGAATGGTGGTTCCTCAGACTAGGGGCTCTTTCCTCAAGCAGATGATCAGAATTTTCTATTTTATTTTTTAGTTGAATGTAGTTCACTGAGCACCTATTGAGCATCTGTGTTATTCATTCATTGTCCCCTACTGAGAACTCCTTTTTCTTGCCATCATGCTGTGCTTCTCTATCCTAAAGGAGTCAAATGGCAAAGGAAGAAGGCATTGAAAGCCCTGAGCCAAATAAGGGTGGAGATGAGTCCCCTTGGGAGAGAACTAGGGACCTGGGGCTGGGGTAACCATAAACCTGTGCATAAGAAATATGTTTTAGGGTCCAGGATTTAGCTTAGTGGTTTCGCCGCCTACCTCTCAAGTGCAAGGGTCCAAGTTTGATCTCTAGTACCCCCCCAAAATATATATATAATGTTTTAATAGAGCATCATAATAAGTACCCTATGAGAGAGAATTTCCCCAGCATGATGAAGTGAGCCTTACACCCAGCCTTCAGCTTCTGTTTCTACTGTTTTCTGTGATTTTGGAAAACTTCTTTGTACTTCACGTTCTTCCCTTAAATATTAATAACTTTAATTTTATGTATTTTCTACCATGAGAATTTGTGTAGATTCCTAGGATTGTGTGGGAATATACTTAAAGTAGAGCCTGGCAGATGAAAGACGCTCCATAAAAATAACTGACACTTTTTCTTTCTTTCTTTCTTTCTTTCTTTCTTTCTTTCTTTCTTTCTTTCTTTCTTTCTTTCTTTCTTTCTTTCTTTCTTTCTTTCTTTCTTTCTTTCTTTCCTTCTTTCTTTCCTTTCCTTCTTTCTTTTTTTCATTGGTACTAGGGATCGAACTCGGGTCCTTGTGCTTGCAAAGCAGGCAGTGGAACCACTGAGCTAAATCCCCAGCCCTCATGGTGTTTTGTTTTGTTTTTTCAGCTTTAATTGAGTTTATTAGTACATTTTAGGGATACAGTACAGTTACATTTATTGTTGGGATCTTGTACCTCTACATGACAGTTCTTGGTTCTCATTTTTTCCCCTTGTCCCTGCCCTCCCTTCACCCCCTCCCCTCATGGTTTTTAATGTTGTCATTATTTGAAGATAGTTATGGGCTGTCACTTAGCCTTGGACATTGTAAGTGGGCTCTTCTGGGTTCTATTTTAGAATTAGAATCAATTTTTGGTTCTCATTTATCTTAATTTTGATCCTTTGGCATCTGATAGTATAGAAACTCAGTTATTCCCTTGATGCCCGTTTTTTAAAATTGACAAGTAAAAGTTGTATATATTTATAGTATACAGCATGATGTGATATGTGTTCACATTGCAGGATAGCTAAATTTAAATAATTAACATATGCATCACTTCACATACTGAATTTTTCTGTATGGTGAACACATTTCCCCATGACTACTCATCTCTGGATGTGGTCCTTGTGTTTGCATTGGAATGGGGAGCTGGTGTATGATCCTGGGAACTGTTATTAATATGAAGTTAGTAGGGATAGTTTTAAAAATTACTTTCTAGTATTTTTAAAGTCCTGGACAATATTTAGTTCTCTGGAGCTGTTAGTCTAGTTATTGTGTTTTCTTTTCTCTCTTGCTATCCTGAAATTCACCTTGTTTTTGTGACTTCAATGAACTCTAATATATTTCCTGCATCATAATTGGAAAAATGAGAGGAACATATTCATTTCGCTTGTTGATTTGATTGCCACATACATCAATGACTTTTATTCTAGCCTTAATTGTCATTGAAAGAGCAGATTTTTGTTTTTGTCCATGTTTAACATCAGAAATTTGGAAAATGTCAGAAGAATAAGAAGTAAAATGTTCCCGGCCTAGTCAGTTACCAGGTTAATTGAAGCCTTTAGATTCTGAACCATTTTAGGAAATGGCACACTTCTTTCACTTCTTTCTGTGGTTGCCTCAATATGCCATCTTCCAGTGAATTATGGAATTATAAATTTCCACTTTTGAGGGGTCAGGAACTTAGTAGTTCCACCACCTGCCTTGTAAGCGCAAAGACACGAGTTTGATCCCCGGTACCAAAAAAAAAAACGCCAACACTATTGAGCTCACCAGCTTGTAATCTACGAATCCTTTTTGGTTAAATCTCAGGCAGTAAAGCCATCAGTATGTCCCCTGACAGCATCCCCAGGGCTGCTTATTTTAAGTATGACACAGTAGTAAGGACTGGGAGGTAGAGATAATAGTCAAGTAGTTGTCCTTGTTTGGGGCAAGTCTTTGGATGGCAGACAGTGAGAGAAGGATGAGACATCCCTGAGCCCCCGCTGTATACCAGACATCTCAATCTCATTGGCTGTGTTTCCCATCTGTAAAGGTCAGTGGACAGCCACATCATAGATGGCTCAAAAGGGTTAGGTCTCATAGCTATAAAATTCTGCCCTTTGCATTTTGGCTGTTCCTTTAATGTTGAAGGAAATTTGAACTCACAGCCACTGACTTTACACTCAGTCTTATGCTTCAATAATTTATGTTTGAAATGTGGCTCTATTAGCTTGCTTCAGTTAATCAGATTTATTGATAGTTTTCTATGACTTCATA